TTCACACTCATTTTAAGAGTCCAAAATCTTCTAATGTTTATATTTTACCTGAAATGTATTTCATTAGAAGTGTACACAAGTCCCACCTAAATATAAGCTCAAAAGTGGAACATACTCCAGCGAGTGCAAGAAAGATGCAGGTGTTCTTCATTCTGTCCTTCCCTTGACCTAACTAACTAGTCTCAGACAATTCCTGGGCTCTCAACATCACCTCAGTAACTAGTACTATCTGCTCACAAAAGCAGCTCATGTTATTTTAAAGAACTTCTGAAGCTTAAACACAGGAACAACATAACAATCCTTTTCCCTCCCTGACCCTGGAAAAGCACATATGGATTCACCTAGTCATTCACATTACAGAACAGGTTTCTGTCTGACTTCAGTCATTCTAAAACCAACTTTGATCCATACCAATTCAAAAATTCAGGTTACATGTAAGAGTATATTTTGGTGTATTTAGGGCTTTTTCCAACTTTCAGCTGAGTGCACACAGCTAAGCAGTCTGAGAAATGTGACATCTGCAATACAAAGGAGACCAATTCAAAGGAGGATGGAGAAGGACAACAGAGAGGACATTTGGACTCTATAATTAGCAGATAAAAGATACACACATTTCTGTCAAAAAGATCCAGAGTTGTCTGCAACCATGGACAATTCTACAGCTGAGAAACTTCTGGAAGCCTGCCACATCAAAGAACAATATGGACTAGTGAATGGTCCTTCACAAAGTATAGGCGATTGAAAAAATCCCAGAGGGATGAGGAGGGCAGGGAGAAAACTGAAGAAAAGAAAAAATTAAGCTGTTTAAATTATGGCACTTACATGACACAGGAAATTGATATAGGATATATATTAACCTTCTATTTATGAAAACTCAAAAAAAAAGGAAACAGATCTAATAGGGAGTCAGATTTGTTCTTCCCTATTACACTTCCTTTAAAAAAAAATTCTTCTATTTAAGGAACTATTTCATAGTAATAACCAATAACCATAAATAAAATATCTCCCTAAAAGGAGTGAGGGGCAAACAGAATAAACAACTGAATAGGCCAAGAGCACAAAAAGTGATTTTTTAATAAAGTTTTATCTCTCAGCCCCATTTCTGATCATCTATACTCCTTCTGAAACTCATTTTTATTTTTTTCTTTTTGACAGTATCACTGGTGTGGTAATTATGTTTGAAGCTTTTTCAGAGGATTATAATACAGTTATTTCTTCAAAAAAAAACATCAAAAGCCCTACCTGATATTAGAAGTGTCTCCCTTTCCAGCTACAGCTGCCAAAAATGAGAGCTCCCATTATAATAATATGTACTGCACTAGAAACATACCAAGATTTGACACCTAATAAATTTTAGGAAGATATTACCAATAAAGTGAAATACCGAGGAATCTGTTTAAAACTGAACCAAACTGATTTTATAAAAATGCTAAAGCCCAAATGTTCAAATAGAATCTTAATGCTACAAAATGCATACTGATAACTAAAGTCTCTCTTAGAATATTTGACTTTTCCAAAGTCCTCATAATCTGACCTAATTGAGCTTTCCCATTTTTAATGAGAAACTCTAACACTATCCTTTAGGAGTTCCCTCACCAAGTCAAAGATAAACTTTTATCTTCAGTGGTTTAATTCATTTCCATATCACCTCACCAAAGAGAGCTTTCTTAAATAAATACAAAGAAGTTATGCTAAGGAGCCAGTATGGTAATAGCCAATTTGAATTCTAGACTATCAGAAGATGTGCTATTACATTTTAGAAAGGAAGGAGCCCTTCTATTTTAACTTGCATTGTATTCCTCCTAGCAGTCATGCATAGGAATGATGATGATGTTAAATCTAATTAGACACAGATTTACTATCTTCCCTACTGCTTTCCCATATTGCTAATATTATAAATAGTACCTGCTTTACAAACTGTAATAAGCTGATTGCAGCTATCAAATTTAAAATATCAAAAATCTATTAGTTGCGGGGGGGGGGGGGGGGTAGAGAAACCGCTTCAAAGCATTTGAGGAACTGAAAGATACTTTTATTGTTAATGAAAAGCCACACCTGTTGACCAGTATACAGCCCAGTGGTAAAGAGGTCTAGAGTCAGATTGTCTCAAAATCTTGGTTTCACTGTTCACCAGCTCTGTAAGTGATCTTGGATAAACTGCTTAGGTTTTGAGCCTCAGTTTTTCATCTATAAAAGGACAATAATCTATGGCCCTCACAGTTATTGTGATAATGAGACAATAAATGTGAAGCACTTGGAATAGTGCCAGCATTTAACACTTAAGAAATGTTATTACTTTCACTATTTTTATTTTCTTTTTTACAATTAAATGAAATAGATCAACAAAAGTAACTAGAGTAACAGCTTCTTAAAAGATACTGGTCGGCTAAATTGTAATTGAATGACTTCATCTCTGTATAGTGGCCCTTTATATCATAAATGTCCTTCTACAATGTGAATTCTTCAGACGTCTAGCACAAGAACAATGATAATCTGCCTTTCAAATATATTAGAGCAAGTCCTATATACATGAAGCTATAGTAGAACTAGTCTACATACAGATCCAAGTTCAACAGCTGAAACAAAAACAATGGAAAAGAAACTATACACACACACACACGCACACACACACACATATATATATAGGTTTTTGTATAACAAACTCAAACATATTTTCTACAGTATAAAAATGTTCACAATGGCTCTTTGACACTTTAGATGTCTTTGAGAATCTGATAAAAATTACAGACCCTGACCCTAGGAAAACATGTGGATACAAACGACTGTTCTATTTAAGGGGATTTGTTAGCCTACCTACCCCAAACTCATTCATGGACCCAGGATAAGAATTTCTATTACACTGACTTGGAAAGTTCACAGGGTTTTAAACTATTTACCCCTTGTAATCTCAAAGGGCAATATAGTCTAATGTAGTTCTTATTACATTTTTCAAGGAAAAATGCCACTGTAATATACAATGGAAACAATACAGTACATTCTGGTCAAAGTGACTCGATCTGATTTTCATTTATGTTTATTTGTCCTCTTTTAAGAATTAGATTATGATTACTCAACACAATTCCCAAATTTCATCAAATAAAAATTATAGGACACATTTTCTCAGCATTCCTTGTTATCGGATGATGCTAACTGGACAATTTAAAGAAGAGCATCACAGAAAGAGCAAGAACAATTTGCATGCTAAGCAATAAATCACTCTGTTCTTATTTCTAGACACCTCCAGACAGGAGTCTTCCCTTAGACTAAAAATACTTTCGTATAGATGCTGTATGAAAAAAATATGATAAGAATGGCAAAAATAACGATGAGCAAGGTTAAAGAGAAGGATAGGAAAGGGACTGCAGAAAATCTGTAATGATTCCTTTACCACAAGTTAAGATATTCCCCTGGATCACAAAATTATTAAAACATGCTATTAAATTGCCTAAAGCTGCCTGAATTAGTCCACGTACCTGATAATTATAAAGCTTTAATATATTAATGCCTTAGAGTAATGTATACATTTTTAAAACAAAGACATCCAAAACCATCAAGAAATGGCTCTATATTCCCTTAAGGAATTTCCTTATGGAGTAAGCTTTTATAAAAATATTCAATGAGGAACAGAAGTACTCAATGTGGCTGTGTCAGAAACAGAAACTAGGCTTTAAGTCACCTGCTGTATTTTCTTGAAACAAATGTTATTAAAAAGAAAATTTCATAGGTTTACTTACTTCTTTCTTTATGCCCACATTTCTCACAAAGAACTGGGGGTTGGCTACACACAAACACAAATACCACAAAGGATAAAATAAATGTTGAGGAAAATTAATAAAATAGAAATACAGTTAAAAAATAAATGCAGGGTTTAGATTAGTCCATGGAAAAGCAAATCACCTGGTCCCACTTAGTTTGCAAGAGCTGAGCCTCTATCAGCTTAACACAATGAGGGAAGCAGGGGCTAGCAAGGACAATAATATCCAAAGAGGAAAAACAAGTCCTCAGGAGCACCGCTTTTCCTGACACTGCTTCTATCACTTCTGAAAATGCAGTCTGCTCATACAACAACCACCCTGTCTATCAACAATGGCTAACAGTTTACAAGATGTAAAGTTATTAATAACTGACATCAATACATCCACTCCCTCAAGGGATAGACAGATAAACGGGAGGGCTGAAACCATTATAAACAATTAGTTGCTGCTCTATTTTGGGTTTAGTTTGGGTGGTAACTTCAATAGCTTTGAAATAAAACAAAGGATAACCCTATATAACCAGAGATTTTAAATTGCAGCAGTAACTTTAGGAGAAATCTGCCATAAATGTATAACTATCCTGGAAATAACAGAAAGCCCAGAGAAACCAACGATTAAAAGATAGATACAGGCGAGACAAAATAAATATTCACTTTCACCAGATGAGAAAAGTGAACAAGTAATAAATGACTTTAAATTGAAACAGGCAGGATTTAGGTCACATACTGAAACAGTTCCAGTAATGCACAAGCTATCAGTATTAAAATAATTAGTCTTAAGATTCTTCTTGGAAACAACAATAAAGAGGAAAATAAATCAATTATACCTCATAAAGCTAAAAAAAAAAAAAGGAATAATTTAAAAAGAGAAAAGCATGCAATGGCCTTTCTTGGATTTTTGAAATAAATAAATGATCATGCCTTGAGGAAAGAGTGAAGTTATCTATCCTGGGCCCTTCAAGCACCCACACATTAGCAATTAAGAGTTCAAAAAACAAATCACATAATCATCACATTAAATTCTTAGTCAACCAATGAGGAAGCCCTCAATAGCTGTAGAACAATATAGAGCAATTTATATTGTAAAATAATATATATGTCTTAAAATATAAAAGACTGCTCAGAGGCAAAACAGTTGATTTTATCACACTTAACCCAGAACTTGCATCTGTGTCAAACTTAACTGAAACCATACAAGTCAAATGGACAATATTTAGAAAGCACTGACATTTCTCCCTGCACTTACCTGATCTTTCTCATGGGGTAGAAGGCTGACAGGCGGGAGCGAAGACGGGAAAGCACTGGGGTACTCGGGAGCCCCTTTGCCATCTAAGCCTCCGTAATTGACCCTGTACTGAGGTCCGTCTTTCAGTAACCTCCCATTGTTCACCGCGCGTTTGGCCCCCAGTCGCAGCCGCTGCTGAAAGGCTGGGTTGGTGGTGGTGCTTGTGAGATCACTTTGACTTCTGAGATACTTCTCAATGTTCTTCAGGGAGGAGCCATTTGGCTCCTCCAGTCCTTCAATTGCTCTCCTTAGAAGTTTATTCCAATCCACGTTTCGCAGATCATTGCATGATCCTCTAGACCCCTTGGTTGACTTAGGAAAAGTGCCTGGTTTAACGGATGAAAAGCGCCCAGGATTGTCTGGGTCCTTATAGGAGGCAAGGCCTTTGTTGGTGACTTTGAGAACTGAGCCATCCTGAACGCTGAGTTCCAGCTGTTCAGAGACTGTCTTCTTATCCAACCCATGGGAAGTGCTGACGGCATGGCAGATTCTCTCTTCGGAGGGCCTTTGCTTTTGCTTTTTTATTTTTTGTATAGCTTCAAGAATCCACTCTGTATAAAGTGGGTTTGCAAGTTTTACCATGGTTGACAAATGACTTCTTCAGTACAAAAGTTACCCATAGAGGTTCTCCTTGTATTTAACAGAACTTGCACATTTAAGTCAATTACAATTCAACAAATGGGCAGACTATCCCAGACCATATTAAGCAACATCTCACAAATATCCATCCTTTAGAGATTAAAAAGAGGATGAACAGGCAAAGTTGATAGTTGTCTTATTTGACCAACAGGAAAAACTGCATTCGAATGAAGAACATCTTTAACCAGGAAATCAAGACCTTAAAAGATAAAAAAGAGGGAAATCTCTTAATAATCAAACTTCTAAAAATAAAGTAAAAGACTCTTTTTCAAATGCAAAATGACTACAGAAATAATGGCAAGCAGGTATTATATAACAAAGCCACAATGATTATATTTTCCAGCCAGAAATTGGGTCACAGTCTGAAAAGGAATTTCTTTTAGGATTTTTCATTTGTTATTTATATGAGTAGCTTATGGGGCATTTAAAAGATCATATCTAAGTTATCAATATTTATTTAATGGATAGCCTTCATTGAAATTAATAAAATTACATGTTAGTGGTTCAAGATATGTATCTACCATAAACATAAAATCAACACCAAAATAAATCTATGGTGCAAAAAATTTGATGGAGGGGATCTCCCTGGTGGTCCAGTGGCTAAGACTCCATGCTCCTAATGCAGGAGGCCTGGGTTTGATGCCTGGTCAGCGAACTAGATACCACATGCTGCAACTAAAGATCCCAAAGGCCACAGCTAAGACCCAGCACAGCCAAATAAATAAATATTTTTTTTTAAAAAGGAAAAAACTCTGACGGGAGTACATTAAACGTAAAAAGAATCTTAAACTTAAAAAAAGAAGAGCAATAGTCCTGACTTTTCTATTTCAGCTAAACATTCTATGTATTTCTCAAGTCTCACACATAAGAAAATTTCCCACTGGGCCTCTGCTACAGACTCATGTTCCCCGGCCCTTTGGAGAGGTTCTGTAACGCTCTCATCCACAGGTTGGAAGGAAACTGAAACTAATGTGGTAACATAACCCATCACCTTTTGAATAATGGAGCCCTCTAGGTGTCTCTACCCGCTTAGCTCATGAAACGCTCAATTTGAGCAAGGTTTGTACACATCCTATTCCAGGTAGACACTGATACTGCTTTCTGAGAACCTCCTGATATACACAAAAATCCCCTAGATCTCCAATCTGGTATTGAGAACACCTGCCAAGAGCACCGGCCAAAGCACCCGGGCCTGGGAGTTGAGTCAGATCTGGGCTCTAATCTTGCTCTTCACAGATAAAATCCACATCTTAAAACTCTTTTTCAAACAGTTTGAAGTTTTCAGAGTTTTTGCTCACATATAACTTGTAATCTGCAGGATGCCTCTATGGGTAAACTGAGGCTTGGGGAAAGGTGGAACACAGGGTAATAGTCAGTGGAAGACTCCAAGCTCACAAGCCTTTCTTCTACACTTAAGTCAGTTCTGCCTTCATCTGAGCCTCAACTGCTTGTTCCAGCTAGTTCTTCCTCTGTAATTAAGACTAGTAGTCCACATGCTGGCCCTACCCATGTCAAGCAGAGAAACCCTGGGAAAATGACTTAAGTTTCTGTCACTTTACCTGTAGAGCAATAATAGTATATACTTCCAGGACTGTTGAGAGAATTAAGTGAACACATTATCTAATACGCAGCACAGAACAGCTATCATCATTTCCACTTAATACAATGCCTACACTCTCTGAAAAACGGCTCATAAAATTATAAAGTTATCTCTGATTGTTTATTTACATTTAATGTACCTCAAAGGGTAAAATGAGCTTCCCTTGTGGCTCAGCTGGTAAAGACTCCACCTGTAATGTGGAAGACCTGGGTTTGATCCCTGGGTTACGAAGATCCCTTGGAGAAGGGAAAGGCTACCCACTCCAGTGGCCTGGAGAATTCCATGGACTGTATAGTCCATGGGGTTGCAGAGTTGGTAAAACAATAAAAATAAAATAAAAATGAAATAAATAAAATAAACATTTAAAAAAGAGTAAAATAATGTTTTTCCCAAAAATTTAAGCAGATACACTGAAGAATTTAACATTTGCTTTCAAAGATTCTGTTAGTAAAAAACAACTGGACCACTGAACTATACTAGCTCAGTCAGCTTGAAAGTGGCAGTTTCAAAAAGGATTCTTCCTTTTTGCAATTAGTATACTATAGTTTCACTCTATTTTTCTCCATTCAGATTTAGAAACTTGGGACTAAAGAGATCTTTGAGGTCATCCAATCCAACTTCTAGTTAAACAGTAAAAGACCCCCTGTTCAATTCGTCAAAAGATGGGCCATAAAGTCTCAAAATACTTTCAGTGATTGAGAATTTGTCACTTCTTAAGACAGCTCATGCCCCTGTTGGACAGCTCTAACTGTAATATATTTCTCGCTCACAGGAGCCAAAATCTTTCTTCCCATAACTTCCACCCACTAGTTCCAGTTCCCCTGGAACAAACTCAAATTCTTTAATACTATGCTCCTTCTTATATTTGAAAACACAATGAGCCTTCATATATTTGAAAACAAGTATCTTTTGAAAACCACTACAATCAAACCCCATTCTACCTCCAGTCCCACCTTGGACCACTCATATCCCAATTCCTTAACATGCCCACACATTACAGGTTTCTAAGCACCTCCTTCTCATGCTCACTCATTAGTTTGGCTAATGCTCATCTTAAAATCTGGCAGTCCAGGCATTATCCAATTATAAATGCAACCCAGGGTTACATAAACTTTCTTACCAGCCCTGCCACACAACTGGCTCACGCCAAGCATGTAGTCCAACTAAAAATCTCAGATATTCTTTCAAAAAAACTGTTAAGCTGAGGATTTTCATTCTCTACCCCGTACAAATTTAATAAATGCTCAGATTTTTAAACTTATCACAGTTCATCTTATTGGTTTGAGTCTATCTTCCAACTTGTTAAAAATTGTTTTGAATCTTGATTCTGTCATCTATGTCATCTGCAAATCTAATAAGCACTCCCCTTTGTGGCATTACATAAATCATTGACAAAAATGTTAGACTTGGAACACAGTGTGTTTAAGAATGAAATCATTGGCTTTCATCGTGCAACCACTTTCAGGACAGAACACAGGAATCATTCTGCTTTAGTAAGTTTAGAACAGGAAGCTGATCTTTCCAAAGTAAAATGGTTCGGGGCAAAATTTTATTAGAAGACATTTTACCGTGTCCAAGTAATTATTTCATCTTTCATCATTTATTCAGGATGAATCAACTAATTTAATTTGATTGCACAAAATACAACTGCAGGAAGCAGGAAAAGAGGTCACAGAAAAGTATCTAATATTGCAAAGTTGCTTTCGGACATTTTGGTTACACAGGCCAATGAACATACATTAAAACAAAATACATTTCATAACTAATACTCAAAATACACCTTCATGACAAGCTATTACCATAATCCTAACCCACAATCAAAAGAACTGTTCATCTCCATGACCAATACATTTCAACGAGACTGACATTTTTACAACTGAAAAATACAATTAAAAAAAAGGGAAAATACCAGAATTGGAACTCCAAGTGTTTTAACAGTCCGTGACAAAAAAGAAGATTGTCCAGATCGTCAGGCAAATCTGCCAAAAGAAAAAAATGTAAATGTTAGTTCGGGCATTAGGACACCCCTTAAATTTAGCAACCATCTCTGGATCTCCACGCTACTCAACCCAAACAGACACGGTGAGTTTATTGGTACACTCTATTTAGTGATAAGTTAGCTCTCTTTGACAAGAAGCCCCACAACAAGTACCTCAGGGCGTAAACTTCCAGGCTTCCTCAAGGCTAGACCTGTCCTCCAAATTTTAAAAAATGAGGTTTGCGATAGAGACAAAGAAAGAATTTCATCATTTAAAAAAAACCAAACAACTCGCTATTACTCAAGTAGTCAGGCAGGTATAACATTTTGTCTGGATGGGAAAAAAAAAAAAGGTCAAACATTGTTTGAAGGTCAATATTAACTTTCCCAAGCAACATTCGCTATTTATCCCAAGGGTCATCTGGTATCTAAGTACTGATTGAATTATCAAGATATGGCCAATAGCTGCAACTAAGAGGAAGATGCACCAGTTTCCACAATATGTCAGCACAGGACACATTTCAGGGTGGTAGTTACTAAGTTGTGTCTGACTCTTGCAAACCCATGAACCACAGCCCGCCAGGCTTCTCTGTCCACGGAATTCTCTAGGCAAGAATACTGGAGTGGACTGCCACTTCCTTCTCCAGGGAAGAACCTGGAGAAGGTTCAAAACCTCCCAACCCAGGAATCAAAACCGAGGCTTCCGCGCTGCAGGCGGCCTCTTGCATCGCAGGCAGATCCTTCACCAACAGAGCCACTAGGGAAACAAAAAATGAATGTGCAGCAACACTGAATGGCTGCACAAAACCACCACGCAACCAGAGCCTCCTTCCCCCCCCAGCCGCAGACACACACCTCACTCCTCAATTTAATCTCAAAATTAGCGCTCATCTGACACCAACCAACCGAGTTAATTAGGCGGAAGCAGATGTAACTCAGCAGCTCTTTGCTACAAGCTGAATCAGTGTTAAAGACATACACACACAGAGCTAAGAAAGGAACAAAATCATAAGTCTCTTATCTGTAGCCAATTCTCAACTAAACACATGTATATTATCCACTTTGTATATTATCCACTGCAAATTTTTTTAATCTTAGGCTGGTTTGTTTCTGACATCCCACTGGCCCCACTGTAAATTGGTATATGTTAAAAGAATAGATTGAAAACCAATTTAATTTTAGTCTAAGCAATATTTAACTAGAAAGACAAATCTAAGGCAAAAAAAATGCATAATTCATTAAAAAGCCAGTTAGAAATGCTTTCCGCCCCCTGCCTCCCCTGATTCAGAATTATCCACACCATTTCTCTTTTCCAAAGCCCTAAGATTGGTTTCACAGGTAGACAGCACATGCTATTATAAGTAC